TTTTTTTTTTTTTTGGAATAATCAAAAATTTAAATTTTCAGGAGCGTGCCTACCTGGCTCAGTCAGTAGAGTATGCAACTCTTTTTAAGTTTATTTTTGAGAGAGAGAGCATGGGGGTGGGGCAGAGAGAGGGGGACAGAGGATCTGAGGCAGGCTCAGCGCGGACAGCAGGGAGACTAATGTGGGGTTTGAATTTACGAACCATGAGAGCACGACCTGAGCTGAAGTCGGACACTTAACCTACTGAGCCACCCAGGCGCCCCATAGAATATGAAACTCTTGATCTCAGCGTTGTGAGTTGGAGCCCCACACTGGGTGTAGAGATTATTAAAAATAAATGAATGGAACCTGGGTGGCTCAGTTGGTTAAGCATCTGACTGCAGCTCAGGCCATGATCTCTTGGTTTGTGAGTTCAAGCCCTGTGTGGGGCTCTGTGCTGTCAGCACAGAGCCTGCTTGGATCTTCTGTTCCCCTCTCTGCCCTCCCCTGCTTGTGTGCATGTGTGCTCTCTCAAAAATAAACATGGGGTGGGGGTGCTGGGTGGCTCAGCTGGTTAAGCATCCGACTCTTGGTTTCGGCTCAGGTCACAATCTCACAAAACCTGCTGGGGGTTTTCCCTCCCCCTCTCTCTCTGCCCATATCCCACTCGGTCTCTCTCTCAAAAATATACTTAAAACAAATAAACATAAAAAACTAAAAATCTTTAAGGAAACCCCTCAATTTTCAAAAGAAAGTTCACTTTTATTTATGCCCATGTGTTTCTAGGCTCCTGAATGTGCTGGGTCTTTCTGTGGGGTGATCGGACTCTGAGCCTGGGCTTCAAGGGAGAAAGTTCCTCATGTCCGCATCCCTTGCAGGACTCAGCTCCAGGAAGACCCTGATGTGCCTTCTAGATGAGGGAGAGGTCTTGAGGGAGGGTTCTTGGAGGGAATAGATGTTGGGGCAAAGTGGACAGGGTCTGTGAACTTCCAGGTTTGGCTGAGGCATCAGGTCTGGCCGGCAGAGATGGAGTCTGAGGTGTTGGCACAGACGGACAGCCAGAGGGACAAAGGGAGAGACAAAGAGAGTAAGTCGAAGTTCAAGTCAGCATGTTAGTCGAGAGTCAGGGAATGAAAAGATCAAAACGAGAGCGTGAGAACGGGCAGGTGTGGATGTTAACAGAGAGGGGGCTGGAGGTGACAGGATCCAGACCTGTGGTAGGAGATTCCTAGTCCCCAAAGATGGCCATCTTCTCCAGTTCCTGGATCCTGGGAAGTGTGCTGTCCTGGTGGGCCCGATCCAATCCTGTGAGCCCATAAAGGCAGAGAGAACTGTCTCCCGCTGGAAGAGGAGGAGAAGGCAGAAGGAAGATGGGGCAGAAGGGAGAGTCTGAAAGATTCTGGATCTGAGGTGTAGGGTACACACACAAGGACCAGAGAGAGGCTTCTAGGAGCTAAGGATGGGTGGCCCCAGGTCACAACCAGTGAGGAAGCAGGGTCCTTGGGATAACCCCAAGGCTCGATTGTGCAACAATCCTCCCCTGTTGGGAACAGGAGGGCAGACAGAGCAGACAGGTGACAAGGTCAGCGACTGAGGGGATGATGGATGGGGATGGAGGGGACAGAGCTGCTCAGTGAGCAGACAGACAACGCCGGGGAGTGAGAAAACTGAGCCCGGCGACCTTGGCGAGAGCCTGTGGCACAGCCAGATGTCACTTTCCAGGCTAGGATTGGGGGGAGGGGGCTTGCCATGACCCAGTCGGCTGAGGCCTGGGGACAGATCCTGAAAGGAGAAAGTGCTGCTAGATGTAAGAACTTTATTTCCATATGGAGCTTGGGGTGGGGTCTGGTGGGGGGTACATGCAGGTGTTCTCCAGCTCCCTCCCCACCCCTATAGCTGCTGGTAGGGCCTGAGGATGTACAAGAAGTGGGTCTTGCGGGCGGGCAGCTTTGAGTGGGAGGATCCCTGGGTCCCCTCTCCGAGGCTGTCCTCGTGGGTCCCCTCGCGGAGCCCGTCCCGGATGGCCTGCAAGCGGTGTCGCTTCTCGATGAGCCAGCGGCCACCCTCCTGAACATCCTGGTGGGATCTCCTGCGTGGCAGCTTCATGATCCAGAAGGCGACTCGGGGATGGGGTTCAGGGCGGAAGGTGTCGATGGCTTTAGGGACAGGCACCAGGGCCTCCTTCTCCTCTATCTTGGGCACCTGGGGAGGAGGAACAAGGAGACCTATTAAACTCCAAGTGACAACCCCAGGATGCTGAGTTCCCAGCTGGCATATTCAACCCATTTTGCCCACCTACAGGGCGCTTTGGGAGTTTAAAGCTCATTTTGTGCTTTACAAAAGCACTGGGTTTACAAGTGCTTTTGCGTTAAAAATACTGAGATTTATAGACTACTCTGGGATTGAAAGCACATTTTAGAGGTTTCGAAAGCATTTTAGGATTAAACCTACTCTTAAGGTTTAGAAAGCAGTTGGAAATGTACAAATCACTTTGGGATTAAAAGCTCTTGGTTTTACTAAAGAATGACTACAGTTGCAACGTGTGATCCTTTTTTTTTTTTTTTTTTTTTTTTTTTTTTTTTTAGTTTGTTTATTTTGAGAGAGAGAGAGCACGCAGGGTAGGGGCAGAGAGTTGGGGGCAGAGAGAATCCCAAGCAGGCTCTACATCGTCAGTGCACAGCCTGATGCAGGGCTTGAACTCACGAATCGTGAGATCATGACCTGAGCTGAAATCAAGAATCAGATGCTTAACCGATGACTGAGCCACCCACACGCCCCACAACGTGTGATCCTTGATTGAATCCTGCATCAAAAATCAAATCGGGGGGGGGGAGGATGGGCTAAATGGGTGATGGCACTAAAGGAGGGCACTCATTGGGATGAGCACGGGGAATCACTAAATTCTATCCCTGAAATCATTATGACACTATATGTTAACTAACTTGGATTTAAATTAAAACAAAAATCAAATCAGCTCTACTTCCCCACCTCCATTCGTGTGTTGAAGTCCTAACCCCCAGGACCTCAGAATGTGATCTTACTTGGAAACAGGGTCATTGCAGATATCATTAGTTAAGGCGAAGGTCATTAGGGTGGGCCCTCACCTAATATGCCTGGTATCTTTATGCAAAGGGAACTTTGAACATAGGGAATGCACACAGGGAGAAGGCCATGTGAAAATGAAGACAGAGACGGAGAAGGGATGCTTTCTACATTTCAAGGAATGCCAAAGATTTTCAGCAGACCGCCCCGGAAACTAGGGGAGAGGCATGGAACAGATTCTCCCTCGCAGCCTCGGAAAGAACCAACCCTGATGAACACCTTGATCTTGAACTTGTAGCCTCCGGAACTGGGAAACAATAAATTTCTGGTGTTTAAGCCACGCAATCAGTGGTACTTGGTTATGGCAGCCTGAGCAAACCACACACACACACACACACACACACACACACACACACACACACAAGCACTTTGTGGTTAGACTCGCCCTTAGCAGTTTACAAAGGTGAGAGACGCAAAGCATTAGGGATTCCTAAAGCACTTTGGAAAGAAAAATCACATTTTGAAGTTTATGAGAGTGAGATTTCCCAAGGCCTTTGGGGTAGATTAAAAAATACTTGGAGGTTTGCAGAGTACTTTGGATAAAAGCACCCTTTGAGGTTTACAAGGGTGAAGATTAAAAGCACTCGGAATTAAAAGCCCTTCTGGGTTTACAAACTTTTCTGGGGCTTGCTATGTGAGTGGGGATATACTCTGGGGTTGTAAACCTCATTTCTGAGAGCTGGTTTGTCCATTTGACAGATGACAAAACTGAGGCCCGGAGAAAAGAAGTGCTGAACAGTCAGAGTGGGAATATCCACTCATCTTCCAAACGACAGAAAATGTTCGAGCTTGGACACATTGTCCAGGGCAGGTCCTAACCTTCCAGTCACTCTCCAAATTCCCCTCTCCCGGCTCAATGGACGCCACCACCTGCTCAGAGATCAGCACCTCTCCAGTTTTGTTCTGTCACCTGTGAGGACTGGAGGAGAGAGTGAGAGCAAAACCACTTTCTTCCTCTGCCTTCCTCCCCACAGATACTGCAGCATGAGAGATCATGGGAGGACTCCAGGAGGGACTTCTCAGCATAGGCACCTTGTCGATCTGGAGGTGGCTAGAGAGAGTGTTGTTCCCCAGCCGGTGCTCCTGGTTCTCTTCTTGGTGGTAATTCCTGGGGAGGCCCCGGAAGTCCATGGGGGCAGAGAAGAAGCTGTCCATGCCCCGCAGAAAGTCATCCTGGGGGGGGGGG